ATATCATTTCCGAAAAATCTACTTTCAATTTGAATCAAACTTTGAACCCAACTTGTATTCATTGAATGCCTGTCACGTATTACCAAAACGAGGTTATTTTTTACAGAGCATGATAAATAAGCACCAGACTTGGATGCAACATTTATGGAACATAACTATTGTTTCGATGTAAATGTCAAAGATTAAGTGAAAACACATTTGCATGGCCGATGAAAAACCGTAACAGGAGAAAGAAAGGGGTTTCCACTATTTATACCGATGGAATTCGAACGATCTAAATATTGGAATCGGCAAAAAAAAACCATGAAATATGTAAGTTGTTTACTTTTACTGAAATCCCGTGTAAATTAATATTAAGGACGATTTAGAGATAACTACACAGCGTTAAATATATGTTGTAGGTAATTTATCTTAGTTACTGAAAAAAAAAATAAAGATATTGTAGAGACGAATCCTTATCAAATATCTGTTTTGTTATCTGAACAATGAATGTTGATGAATTTTTATATAAACGAAAGATACATTCTTTTAAATAGTATACAAGGTCAATTGTCGCTCATGCAATTTACTTTTGACGCAGAGCGAACGGTTACTTGCACGATTCAATGTTGGATAATATCTCTTTAAAAATCGTTGTTCCTTAAGGTAAATCACTTTATAGATAAACCACAACTTGTCAAGTGTGGATTTGATAGTAAATAAAACGTAACCAAATGAACAAAATATTGCACCAAAATTTATTACAATGAATTATAACTGGTTTCGAATTCTGACTTGGGACACATATTGAATGTACATTGAAACAGCAAATCTTTGTTACTAATGAATAATAACAGCAATCAAGAAAAAAGGAAAAATAAGAGAAAACAACTAATCAAAGCCTAAGCTAGCTAATCAGACCTTTTCATATAACCGATAACTATATCACCTCACTGTTACAATTATCCATACATGTACACTAAATATTGTTTTAGTTCTGGCAGTATCAAATTTAAGTACAGTTAGCAGATAAATCTTAAATAGGTGGACATTTGTGTGAAAAACAAACACATTGAAACAATAAACTGTAAACTACGCTTTGTTTACATGATACACTGGAACATGGAGGCAATTAAAAGATTTGAAATAAAGATGAATGTCATTGGATTATAGGAAAAAATGATAGTGATATTCATAATTTACTGGACATATAAAATCCAATAAATATGAACGAACTACTTAGAAATAAAAGGGGGTTGACGAACCAAGCATTGTATGAATATTTCAAAACAATTTACTTAGTAAAATAAAATTGTAATCAAAAGATGTCCTCCGATTATCGAAGTTCGACAAATTATAGAACGAATCGTAAGATCTTCAAACTCAACAGACTATGAACAATATAGATTTATATTATTGATTACTTATATTATATAAGTGACAAACATGCAATGTAATATGTACTCAAGATATCAATTTTTTAATTTTTAAATGCCTTCGTTTATACTTTTGTCACGTTTTATTTTATTTTAATACACATTTTGTCTACACTTCATCGTTATTGAAAACGTTCCGATCTAATGCTTTCCAGTTACATGTATCCTGATTACAAATATATTCAAATACTTATATCGATAACCAGACTACATTTCTTGTAAATCTACTTTCGGTTTTGTGTTGTTGTCAAAAATACCACAGCTTTGATCACCATGTTAAGGTGTCATAAAATAATAAACTCCAATACCATCCGTGTAAAATTATTGATCCTTAAAAGTTTTATTAATATTATTCTAAAATTATCAATTTAGCATTGTAGTGAGATCTTTGCATATTGTATTCTTCAGTTTTAACATTAGTTCTGTTTTTAATAAATCAAAACATTATAAAATATTTATGGCTGTACAGTTATGACACTTTTGGTCATACATCCAGTCGATGCTTATATTTTGGCATTGAAGAAGGCAATGCTATTCTCCTCATATTTACACTTAATCCATTGGATGTGAATTCACTTAAAAATAAGTCTGGGACATCATATCTTATTCAATAGTTTGAAATATCTTTGAACTAGCTTTCAGTAACTGCGAGTACCCTTAGATCAGTACCTAGCTTGTGTTTCTTGTCTTGTTGTGTGTTTTTGACGCTGATATGATGAGTCCAGCCTTTTCCGCTTCATTTTTACAGTTCGTTCTTATGTTCAGCTGTTACACTACTGTCCCCATGTTAAGCAATCATACAACTTTCCTTCCTTATTTTAACCTGCCGGATAAAAAAAATCAGTTGCTTTAATTTTTTTAAAGTCATTTTGTTAATTTATTTATATTTTTATATAATTCATGACAATAAAAAAAAATGATGATCTTATGTAGTGTATATCCATATTTTCTTGACGGAATTAAAGGCTGTAGCAAAATAACAACAAACTATTTTTTAAGAAGATTTCTTATAGCTAAATGTATAAACATAATTCCAACAAAAGTAACGATTTTTTTGTGTGCCCATATTTTTTTTGTTCAATATCTTCTCAAATACAGAGCAAGGATCAGCTAGGAATGAAATATTACAAACTATGTAAAGTTCGTCATGTGTTGTAGCTTATGGTGACTCATCAAAGGCAAATGTTTTTTATAACCTGGACAGCTATTATCTACGTCATGTTGTGTCAAATTTGAGATCATCTTTGTTTAAACCATCCTATTCATTTACCGTGGATTATTTTTTCTAGAATTAACGGCTCCTAAATCTGTCTTTGAAATGGACTCACCAAATTATATCCAATTGTTTCCTTTATGTGCCTAATTTCATTAAGTTTGAATTGGCTAATTTATTGATTTCTGTTCACTAATGGAATCAATTTAATAACTTACCTTTAACTTTTGTAATTTTGATATGCCTTCACTGGGAATCGAACCTCTCCTTGAAATCTGATATGTGTGACTGACATCAACACATCGACGAGACCTCTCGGCTACCAATGGGTTGCAATTAATATGTCTATTACATATATATATAAATGAACGTATGATACACATCGGTACAACGGACACACAATGTTTGTACCTTTATATATACATAATAGATAATCGTATAGTATAAGTTGGTAGCCGTATGGTTAAGATCAACGAGTTATAGAGTCAAGTTAGAAGTAGAGACTTGTCGGTTTAGGTTCGAATCCCTGTTTTCTCTGTGTTGTCCCTATTCTTTAGTTTTTCCGTTTTCTAATTTTGTATGTTATTGTGGATATTTTTGTTATTATAGCATTTACTTTTGGATTATTATTGGCCAATTCGAGTATTTGAAAAAAAATGATTACATTCAATTTGTCCATTTTTGTTTTATAAATATAGTATGATTTCATCTGTTTTACTACATATCTTTACAAATATTTATTCGCAAATACCTATGCGAGTAAATTGTGATGTGCCTAGAATTAGGTTTCTTGCTAGATAATTCGGCAACATACTTATTATATATACTTAAAAATAAGTTCGAATATGTCTTATTTTGTAAATTACGGATAATATTCAGATGCATAATAATATAAAGACAGTCGTGTTATGTTATATTTGTATTTCTCTAACCAATTAATTGTGGACTTTATTAATGCATTCTTGAACATGATAACAGGGTTATTTATACTCACTTACAATATACAATTCTAGTAACCGGTATAATCCTGATCTGAAGATAGTAATATCAATTATTACATAATATGCAAACCACAATGTGTTTGTAATTAATTTGTGATAAAAACTATGCCTTAATGATATTTTTTGGTGAATGGTAGCATCTATATACATATTCAATTTTTATAATTTAACGCTATTCCTAACGAGCCGCAAAGGGCATATAGCTATTTATATGTGTAGACATGTCTGTTGTTATATTTATCCACAATTTAAATTGATTTGTATTTGATTAAGAAAAATGAGCACATATCATAAGTATATCACCTTAAACACGTATAAGGTGTTTATTGCTTCCAACCAGAAATACGATTCATTCCTCTCATTTCTTTTTCTGAAACAAACTATTTTACTATATACTAATTTTTGTCTTCATTTAGGCGTTTTATGGGATATCTGCATCCTTTAAAAGAGAGGCAAAAGATATCAAGGTGACATTCAAACTCATGAGGAATATTAACTGACAAAGCCATGGCAAAAAATAGAAAGAAAAAAAACAAAAGACATACAATAGTATACAAAACACAACATAGAAAACTAAAGACTGACAAACACGAACCCCACCAAAAACTGGGGGTGATCTCAGGTGCTCCAAAAGGGTAACCAGATCGTGGTACCTTAACTGATAATGTTCGCCTGAAACTGTATGTACATTATTCAACTATAAACATACAAAATTATGTCAATTTTATCGTTAAATTATAAGTCCTGTATCTTTGGTGTGTTTTTTTATAACCTTTATCTTAGTTGTGATTTTAAGTGATCCCAATCATGATTTAAATCATACTTCAATAGTTTTGTTTGTAAAAATTGTCAAATGACGCCGAAATCGTCGTCTAAAATTGAATAAGTTGACGGAATGATTACGATTTGTTACTACTGCTAAGCGCTATGAACAGCATTCTTTTTGTTTAATTCCTGAAAATTTTTGAATGATATTACTTATAAGTAGTGATTTTTCATATATTTTAGAAATAAATCAATCTTATATCTGATTTGTGAATTATTTATTTCGCATAAGAGTTATCAAATTGACTTTAAAAAAGTTTAAAACAATGATTTTTTTTTAAACAAATCAATATGATCGTCGTACATTGTACTCATATGCCTAAGAATTGATTGAATAGGTTCTACTATATAAAAATAAGTCATGGTATGATTGCCATGAAACAACTCTTCACAAGATATTAGTCTATTTGGTGGTTTTAAAAGTATTCCTAAATATTGGTATCATGTATTGCTTTAATGTTTGGCATTTTGAAGTTAAAATAACAAGAAACTAGGAAGAATTTTTTTTTCCTAGAACTGACGATTATTTTTCTGATTCAGTTTTAGTGTAAGCAATGGGAAGATACAAAAGAGGCACACCAATATCGAGTGGGGGCTACAATTTGCGTAGTACTAAAACGTCGAATGTAAATCGAAACAAGTCTGTAAGACAAAGCATTGATTACAGTGGCGTAGACTTTAACGCGTTATCTGTAATCATCACACACGAAGATAAAGTGAACGATGACGTTATTGATATATCACATTCTAGCAAAGAAGGACCAACATTGAACAAAAGTCAATGCACTTCAAACGAAAAACCTAATAAAGATGACATAGATAACTCAACAAAAGATGCCTATAGAAAATCTGTATCTGAACTTCAAGGTGCAAAGTCAAATAGATCGTTCAGCCCTTGTTTAGGAAGTATCACTCTAAATCAATCGGTAAGCAATTGTCAGAAAATGTCAAACAGTTTTCAGGATAATGATAACCCTTATAAAATCTCTCGTCCGAACATCGTACTTGAAACAAACAAAACTCACAAATCTGATAATAATGTTGGAAATCTAGATGCAAAAAGAAGAGAAACCTTTTCATCAAAAAATGAAAAAAAATATCCAGGAAAACGAAGACACAAAAGCCGGTCACTTAGTACGGAATCCAATAGGCGAAAGAGAATTAGATCATCTACTAATTTTGTTGGCGATGTAAAACACAAACAGCAAAGTTCTAGGAATGACAAAATTCGGGATGGAGAACACCCCTATTCCGTCGGACGACCAGATAAATCTCCTGCTTGTCACTTTTACGGCCGGTATAGGCGTAAAATAAAATTTGAAAGACAAAGTTCGTTCCGAGAAAAGATAGATCAACGATTGCCATATCACAAAGGCACAAAATCACTACGAAGTACTGCTTACAGAGAGAGGTCTCCATTAAGACATACACCTGGGCAGCAAAGGGGACACGTTTCCAGGCTACATGCTTATCATAGTTCTCCATGTAAAAATACAGATCTACATTTATCTTCAAACCGGAACTATGAATTTTGTCATGATCAGAATCCTACATTTGATAAAATATCTCGTTCTTGCAATACTGAATACGATCGAAATATCCAACGAACACATGAATTAGAGAGCAGACATGAACACACTTGGCATACAGTGTCTTCAAACAGCAACAATGAAGTTTTTCGTTGGCAGAAGCCTACATTTGATAGAAGATCTCGATTAAATGTTGATATCAACAGTGAGTATGATAGATATAGCCATAGAACGCATGAAAAAGAAAGAACATTTGAAAACATACGGCAGGGTGTGTCATCAAACAGGAATTATGACATTTGTCGTGAGCAGAATTCTACAGTTGATAGAAGATCGCGTTCAAATTATGGTATCAACACGGGATATGTTAATAATTCCAAAAGTACATATGAAAAAGAAAGCCAACATGAAACCACATGGCAAGGAGTGTCTTCAAACAGGAATTATGAACTTTCTGGACAGAATCGTACATTTGATAGACTATCTCGTTCAAATATGGATATTCATACTGAATATTATCGAAATATCCAACGACCACATCAATTAGCGAGAAGACATGAACAAACTTGGGAGGGAGTGTCTTCAAACAGCAATAATGACCTTTGTCGTTGGCAGGATCCTACATTTGATAGAAGATCTCGATTAAATATTGATATCAACACTGAATATGATCAAAATACCGAAACAAAACATGAAATAGAAAGCAGACATGAAAACACATGGCATAGAGTATCTCCAAATAGGAATTATGAACCTTGTGGGCAGATTCCTCCAATCGATAAAAGATCATGTTTTAATGTAAATATCAACACCGAGTATGGTAGAAATATCCAAAGAACACACGAAAATATAAATCGAAGAATGAATCACAAAGAGACATATGAATCTCGTTCCAACTCTAAATCGAACGTTCCAAGCACAAAGCAATATAACTGTGAGAAGAAAATGTTAACACACAATTCTCAGAATGGCTTTGAAGCGTCTCATCAAAAGATAGATATAGAAAAATTGTCAAAGATGGATAGCGATAGCCTAGCGGCTCATCTAAGTACTTATAGTAGAGAGCTAGATACATTTTTGTTTAAGGATGTGAGAAGGGAGCAGATGTCTTTATTTTTGCAAGTGATGTGTCAGTTGTGTAAGTGTAAGCGTGAAGTATTAGTTCAGAAAGCTCTCAATCCATTAAAAGAAAGAAGGTTCTTTGACCGACCGGATATAAAGAAAATTATTTGCGAATTGCGTTTACAGTTTGATGAGGAAAAGATTCAGATTCTGCAAAATTTACTAGTTTTGATGAAAGGACTTGCATATCATGCCAATACTGGGCCCTCTGATTTGATCACACCATTAGATTCCTTAGAAAGATGTGTAAATGAAAAACTAAAGAATGGAAATCAACAAAGCAACCTTAAAGCATTAATACAACAGATAAGAGACAAGTGGGATCCTGCAAAAACTCTTTGTGACGAGAACAAACTCTCAACTTTATCTATATTGCCAGATCTTATAGAAATAGAGTCGTCGTGTGCGAGTTCTTTAATTGATTCTGAGTTTGACACAGAAGAAAGCTACTTGCGAAGACTTTTTATGGTTCATCGACAGGATTTTATAAGGCCTCTATGTAAAGGGTTAATGTCTTTAAAAAACACTTTATTTGCAGATCCGTATTGTCTTGAGAAGAAATGGCGCCATGATGACATCCGTGTTTATAAAGATATATGTTTCCTATCACGATGTTGTAATGAGCAGAACGGCATAACTTGGAAAATTAGTTTTGATATCACTCCGTATAGTCGAATCAACTGGAACATTAGAAAGCTACTGACATTTGGATCTCTTGTGTGCTTAACTAACAGAACATTTACCATTCTTCAGTATGCAACTGTAGCAGATCGTAATGCTGTTGACCTAAACAATGGGATTTTTGAAATCAAATTTATCGACGATATTGGAGACATGTCTGAAATTTTACAACAGCCTGATGTCCTACAAGTTGAGAGCCAAGCCTTCTTTCCGTCCTACTTTCATACGTTAAACTCACTGAAATGTATGTACAGTGAAATATTTAATGCGGAAAAAAGATTACCTTTTGGAAAGCAATTATTAAACAAAAGAAACAGTGTGGAACAAGAAAAGCCAGATTATTTTAAATCACCTTCATTCGTAGAAAAAGGATTTGACATCAGATGTTTGCACTCTGAACAAAAAGCAGTAAAGGTTGACATTTCAAATGAGGCAAACTGGCCTGATGCAGATAGTCTTGGTATGGACGATTCTCAACACCAGGCATTTATCACATCAATGAACAGTAAGCTTGCCTTAATACAAGGACCACCTGGAACAGGGAAAACCGTAGCAGAACTTCTTTTACGAAATGATAGTATATGGCGTCAACAAGATGACCAAGGACCAATGCTACTTCTTAGCTATACTAACCATGCATTAGATCAGTTTTTAATAGATATCTCTAAAAGACTGCAGATTACCGACGCCGCTGCTATTGTCCGATTAGGATCGAGATCAGAAATCGAAATATTGAGCAAATATAACTTGACGGCTAAACGCAAGGCATACAGTTACAAAGATGAGGAGTCCATTACTCGCGGGGGAGAAATTCGAATACGTACAAAAAGAGAAACATCGAGCGTACTGAATGTATTGGCATACAATGCTAAATCTAATTTGAAACAAAGAATCAAAGAGCATGAAAACTTGAAGAAACTACGAGAGGAAATTCAGACAGGAATAGTTCATCAAGACTGGCTCCATGGTGTAGCTAATGCTATTACTGACAAGCAATACAATGCACTCAGGAACGAATCTTCTTTAATTAGATGGTTAAAAGTTGAATCAGTAACACAACAAGTTGTTAATATACAACAAAACTATTTGGAAAATATTTACGAAGATGATGATTTTGAGTATTTCGATGAAGAGGAAAATTGGTATGATGATTTAAGTGGAGATTATGACGAAGAGGGCATACAAACATTGGAAAAACTTCAACTGATGCATTTAGACTTAGAAAAATTGAAAATGGTGATTTCTTCAAGTATTGTATTTAGCAAAGAGAAAACGCAAAGCAACCAATGGTTTTGGGAGCAATACAATGAGTATAAAAAATCTGTTTTCATTAAGAAAATAGAAGAGAAACTCTGTTGTACACAAGCAATGCCATTTGAGGATGCATGTTCTGTGTCGAATATATGGAACATCGATTATCCACAAAGGTGGCAGTTGTATAAATACTGGATTCAACAGTCTCTCATTCCCATCAACAAAGAAATACAAGAGTGTGAGGAAAGCTACAGAAGAGCCCAAGGACGTTATGAAGAGATTCAACATATAGCTGATATCAACATATTGAAGAGAGCAAAACTTGTAGCATGTACAACAACCAGAGCTGCAAGAGATATAGGAATACTAAAACGAGTTTCTCCTAGAATTGTTCTTCTTGAAGAAGCAGCTGAAATCCCAGAACATCACGTGGTGGCATGTTTGACGTCATCCTGCAAGCAACTTATTATGATTGGCGACCACCAACAACTGCGTCCGTCCTACAATGATTACCAAACAGCACGACAACATAAAATAAATATTTCCCTTTTTGAAAGACTTATTCGTGGACGTTTTCCATATAAACGATTAGAATATCAACATAGAATGAGACCAACAATATCCAAGCTTTTAGTGCCTCACATTTATCGTACCCTGCAAGATGACCAAAGTGTGTTTGAATACGAAAACGTTAAAGGAATTAACTGTAATGTGTTCTTTTTATCGCATTCTGAGTTTGAAGACCAGGAACACGATGAGTTTTCAAGAAGTCACAAGAACGAATTCGAGGCATTGTTCATTTGTAAATTGTACAGATATATCAGAATGCAAGGATATCCTTCTTCTAAAATAACTGTGCTGTCAACCTACAAAGATCAAGTTCGGCTACTTCGCAACAAGATCAGGACTGAAGATCAAACAATTTCAAGAAATGAATTTTTTACCGACGACTTCGTCAATTATTCAGGGATTTCAAGTCGAGAAGACCAACCATCTGTAAGAGTTACGGCAGTAGATAATTTTCAAGGAGAGGAAAATGATATAATATTGTTGTCGCTTGTCAGAAGTAATAAGGAAAACAAAATAGGCTATTTATCCGAGGCAAATAGAGTTTGCGTTGCTCTGTCAAGGGCAAAAATTGGACTTTACGTGATAGGCAATTTTGAACTTTTAAAATCGAGATCAGAACTGTGGAATAATATTGTCATTGATGCTGAAAATAGAAAATCTGTTGGCTCAAAGCTGCACCTAACTTGTCAGAATCACAAAAATTCGACATATGTTTCTAAGCCGGACGACTTTGATCAGGTTGCAGATGGCGGATGTCAAGAACCTTGTGATGTCAAGAGACAATGTGGGCACTTCTGTTCAAGAAAATGTCATGTAGATGATTCAGATCATGAAGACGATTGTCAAAAAGAATGTCACAGAGTTTGCGAAAGTGGACATAGGTGCATGAAATCGTGTCATTTTCCAGACCCATGTGAGAAATGTAGTGAAATCGTGGAAAAGACAATTCCAAAATGTCAGCATAAAAAACGTATGCCTTGCCATAAAGATCCAAAGTCTTCATCATGCGATGAACGATGTCAAGCTATTATAGCATGTGGTCATCGTTGTCAGAAACATTGTACAGATCCTTGTAATACAGAAGATGACTGCAAGGAATTGATAAAGGTAAAAGCTCGTTGCGGGCATGAGGTTCAAGTGGCATGTTATACAAAATATGATCCACCTTGTAAGTTGCCATGCCAGGGAATACTGAAATGTGGTCACGAATGCAAAGGAACACATTCCGAATGTAGTCAAGGAAGGCTTCACATACCATGTAAAGCAAAATGCGAAAGAAACATGGTATGTGGACATATTTGTAGGGATAATTGCAACTATCGCTGTCCACCTTGCAAACAGAAATGCGATCGGAAATGTTTTCATGGCGATAGATGTAAAAAAAGATGTAGTGATAGCTGTATACAATGTACTGAACCTTGTAAGTGGGAATGTAAAGCAGAATGTCAAAACAAATTCAAGTGCGAACAAGTATGTATGGAACTTTGCGAAAGACCAAAATGTAATACTCTTTGCAATACTATACTAGATTGTGGCCTCGGTCACAAATGTTCAGGACTGTTATGCGAATGTTCAAAGTGCGTTTGTAAAGTATGCGAAAACTTGACAGAAATATTATTTGGATATGAAGAAGAAGATAACGCCATATTCATTCGGTTAGAAGACTGCACATGCGTTTTCGAAGTAAATGGACTGGACCAACATATTTCGAACGTCATGGATAATACAAGTGACGAAATCAAGTCTTTGAAGTGCCCAAAGTGCAGCACAAAAATATCAAAGTCAAAAAGGTATTCTAACGAACTAAAAATTATCAACAAAAACATTTGTGATGTATTTAGAACCATTAGAAATATTGAAGAAGGTACTGATCTCCATTCAAAGCGGTTTGCTACAAGACAGTTACTCACTGACAATAAATATGACATACCTCGTGACAAATTTAATCAACTTCGGGACAAAATCGAAAAAACCGGGAGGGTCGATACTCTGAACATGATATTCGACCAGTTAACTTTTTATAAAGAAATTCGTAATATCAGAAAGGAAATAATTACCTTTAAGTATTGTCGGCAGTTAAAAGCATGGTTAGACCGTCTGGAAACTTGGGTATTTTTAAAGCGAAGTAGATATGCGCGACAAGAACATACAGAGTTTTTTTCTAGAAATACGACGACTACAGCTTACGATTGATATTTATAAATTCAAAACAGAATTGTCTAAACAGGATGAAGGACTCGAAATCCCAGAGAATATTCAAAATTACCTGCTTAAAATCGAATCTATCGAAATCATAGAAGAAAACGAATTGTCAAAAATGAGAAAGGAAACCGAAAAAGTCTCAGACAAAATGATTGGCCTAACCCTTCAAGAGAAAGTAATGATAAAGCGAACCATGGAGAACGAATTTATGGGGTCAGGACATTGGTACAAATGTAAAAATGGTGAGTAGTAATTTCTTATAAATTTTTACTAATTAAACATTTAATCGTTATAATATGAAAAATCTTCAAAGCCTTATTTGTTGTCAAATTCATGTTCATCGATTTGGTTCGAATTCTCAAATTTTATTGTACTAAAACGTTAATCAGAAAAACAAATATTTCCCAAAAAACAATGCGTCGAATCATAAAAGTATCAAATTTTTGGGATAGGGCGCCATTTAATTAACCACCGACATGACCTCCCATATACATATAAACAGGTATATAACGTATAAATTGCACGTGCTAAAATATAAAACTTGTTTCATATCATAATCAAATAATATCTTTGAAAAATTGTCTCAAAGCTGGAAGCTAGTTCTGTTTCTGTTGCTGGAAATTATGCTTGCTTTCAACAGTTCTGTATCTGATCCAAAACTCCCATGTAGATTTCTTACCACAAATAGATTCCGGGACAACTGTAGTTTAATAGTTGTTCAAATTTCATAAATCTATCAAGAAGATACATATCCAGGAAAATACGATAATTGAGGGAATCGGATCCACTCCAAAAGCTGAAAAAAACAGGTGCGTCGACAGGGTAAACATCTCCTGCTATCCATGCATTACCCGCTATCCGAATCCACACTTATTAAAATGTCAAAATCGGGAATATAACATAAACGATAATTTTACAGATCAGACCACTTTTCTGGTATCTAAAGATATGAAACCGAAACAACATGTCACTTGTTAGTAAGTTTTGAGTCACCGACACTTCGTATCGATCAACCAATTTGAGAGGGTGAAAGTAAAACATTATGATGTGGTGTTGAATTGTGTCGTTCTTCATATGATGAAGACATAATCTTTCAATCAGTTTAATTGAGGTCTGGAGCTGGCATGTCAGTAACTGCTAGTAGTCCTTTGTTAATATCTGTTCATTATTGTCATTTTCCATATAGTTTCTTCTGTTACCTATTCTAACATCGGACTCGGACTTCTTTTAAACTGAATTTTACTGTTCGTATTGCTGTGTGTTTGTTTATTCCACATTAACTAGAGGTATAGGGGAAGGTTGAAATCTCACAAAACATGTTTAACCCCGCCGCATGTTGGTGCCTGTCTCAAGTCAGGAACCTCTGGCCTTTGTTAGTCTCGTCTTTTTTTTTCATTTATATGTGTTGTAGCTTAGTGTGACGTCCATTTTCTCTGAACTAGTATACATTATTGTTTAGGGGCCATCTGAAGCCCGCCTTTGGGTACGGGATTTTCTCGATGTGTTGAAGACACATTGTGGCCTTGGGCTGTGTTTTGTGCTCTTTGATCGGATTGTTGTCTCTTTGATGCAATCCCCGTTTCCATTCTCAATTTTATTCATCATGATTGACCCTGTTGTAGCAGTTTTTGTGTAAGGATCACATCTCTGTTAATGGTCTGTATTGTGTAGAATAACACAGGTGTAACGTATTAATTGAGATATGTAAACGTCATACAACGGGAAAGAGGGTATGCTTAGCAGTTGGAGAATTGCAGACCTTCTGGTTTCGGTAACATCCTTACTCTCATGTTCACTAGGATATATGAGATGCACCGAAATTTGGGTTATTGTGCGACAGGGATCATCAATATATCTGAAAATGAAATTAAAGAACCTAGATAGATGCCTTTTCTTTCTGCCTTTAACTTGTAATTGAATATTTTGTCGATAAAAAGGGAAGACGCTATGCCAAATAAGTGATATTTTGGATATTCACGCTATCGCTAGTTTGAAGTTTGAGGATTGTCTATCTTTTTTAACTTGATTTGTATCTTCTTAATTGATGTATAAGATTTGAACATCTTTAAACTACTGTTACATTTATTTACCAGAAACCCCTCCTATACATGTACATTGTAAATAAACATGCTTTAATATTCTAAACAATTTTACGGAACTAATTCCATTGCTAATCTTACTGTCCGTTTTTCGATTATATTTATAATGTAATAAAGGGGATTTCAAATAGCAAAGTATGAACTTTGACATCTTTTCATTTATAAGAGGTGAAATTCCAGAGTTTTAATTTCCTCTTAAACCGCTGAATATATTTCAATGGACCTTAAAGATTATAAGTATATTTGGTATCAATTGTCAATGTTCATATTTTATGTTCTTTTATTACAATAATATCCGAATTTTTTTTTATTATGGAACAGCTTTTATATTTTTTGAATTCTACTGATAATATAATATAAAGTTGCTATATTTGTATCTGAATTTCAGGACATTACTACTCTATTGGGGAATGTGGGATGCCTATGGAGATGAGAAAATGTCCGCAGTGTAATGTGACAATTGGAGGTACAGGTCATATGCTAACTGATGACAATGAGAGAGCTATGGACCTTGAAAATCTTTAAATTTCTGTTATATCTTATCAAAATACATTGTCGTTAGGAGACAGCGTTGGACATTTAAGCGCTTTGATAGGACATTTTAGCAAAAAGAATCGGACGTGTTAGCGCCAAAGTGTAGCCCAGTATAGCGCCAAAATTTAACCCATTTTAGAGAAAAGTGAAATTAAAAATGCCCATTTTAGCAAAACTAATTTATTCATTGTAGAATAGTAAATTTTAATAGTATTAATACAGCACATGAAGTATGAAAAATGTGTTCACTTAAATGTCCTGCGCCCTTAGGAAACGACCATTTAATCATCTTTTGGGGACCGGGAGGATTTTTTACCCACGGAATACTCTTTTTCATCTGGTATTTATTTTGAATTCCAATGCGGAAAATGTATTTCCGTTTTTGTACACAATTTAAATATATATTGTATTTTGTTGATTTTGCTGGGTATAATATTCCATTTCGTCCCGTATTGGAAAAGGTTATTATTTTTCGGTGTGTAGGCCAGATCATTCATTTCCAAATCACTTCTTATTCCTCCCTCATTAGAAAGGTCGACTGTTTGCCCTCCTAATCATCTGTTAATTACACAGAAAGTAACGGCGCGGGATGTTTGCGCTTTTTCAGAGGACATTTGCGCTTTTTTATGGATATTTGCGCTTCAATTTATTGGACATTTGCGCTTTTTATGTAGGACATTTGCACTTTTACAATATTTGCTTCCTAATGACTTCCATCCTCTTTTATCCGGCCTTGGGACCGGCAGGTTTGACCTGGCAGAGTTAAAGTCATTTCATAGCACATTCATTTCATAGCACATCCATTTCATAGCACATTCGTGTTTAAAAGTCATTTCACAGCACATTGATATAGTTATATATAGCTAATAGTAAACATATTTTTCAGGATTGATTACTACATGTAGTATTTATTTTCCTCTTTTGCTAAGTATCCTTTTCTTTTATATTCACTTTTGTACACATTTGCTTCCCTGATTTTTTTTTTTTTTTTTTTTAGAATATTCCTGTTCATCGTTTGCAAAGTTAATTATTTTCAGTTCTTACCTGGCCAAATCATTCATTTTCAACATCCTCATCCCCCTCGATATTCAGATAGTCGCCCCCTTTATGCACTATCCAATCCCGCCATCGACCGATTGTCATGGGAGAAACAAAGAGTTGGAGGAGGTATAACCAAAATCAAAATACATATAATTAGGTCGTCGTATGTACCGAAATATACTGTTTAAGGGAGACCATGTCTTCGTGTTTTTCTCCCATTCCTAGAGACACCGACAATTATTTTTTAAAGGAGAAAATTATTCCCATCCGGTCTTTTTTTGGTGCACGTGGAGTACCTGTTTTTGTCGTTTCAGAATAAATATTTTCCAATATTTTTTCGGGATGGAAACACTACTCAATAATCTCGGGTCGGAAACTTTCAATATAAATCTTACACAAACAATTCATTTAAATGTATCTGAAACTCAAATCCTACTAAAACAGTTGCTACATGTGTTCCTTTTCTGAAAATAAGTGACTAATTTGTGCACTGCAAAGTTAGCGCGGCAAAATTTGATGAACATATTTAATTCATGAAAAGCACAGTTAAGGGTGCATTTCTTTCTAACCAAAATTTTGTAAACGTTGTGTGCCGTTTGTTATCGTTTGCTAAACTCTACAAAAGTAGAAACAATTGTACGACTTTGCCCCCAGCAGAGCTATAGAAAAAGAGTACATAAACGGGTGTTACACGGACACTTTTTAGATGATACACGGACACTTTTTAGTTGTTACACGGACACTTTTTATAAATAGAATCACTCGTGCATGATCAGTGAGTTCATGGGTACTTTAAATTTCAATTAGATTTTTTTCAAACAATTCCAGTATATTACTATTCATATCAGTACACTAAGGGATTGACCATGTAACTTCAAAAGGGGAGTTTCCAAAAAAAAATATTCTGATCCCCAATTTTGTGAGAAAAAAATATATTGTGGTCAATCAGATGACAAAATAATGTTCTGATTCCTGATTTTCCGTATACCGTATATAATAATGCTAATTTCGAAAAAAAATATTTGGGTGATAGCGTTGAAAAACTAAATAATTTTCTTACTCAGAAAAAAACATACCCCCTTTTGGAGCTAAATAGTCGGCCCGTAAATGTATTTTTTTTCAATACATGGACATGAATAGTATTCTGGACAATGCTGAAAGTAAAGAAATGCTGGTACCGACGTTTATATTTCAATAAAAAAGACAGGAAATATGTATAAAAAAATCAAATCTAATGAAAAGATAGAATCCCTATCAACTCACCAATGCACGATTGATCCTATAAATTAAAAGTGTCCGTGTAATACATGTTCAAATAGGCAGCAAATCTTGAAGAAAATCATTCAACTTATTTCACCAATTTTGGACGGTAAGCTGCGATTGGATCATATTGTGACACGTGTTTAATCCTGACCAACACTATTAGAGACATATATAAAAACCTAATCATGAATTTTAAAAAAAAATCCAAAATATATGCCTATATATATATATATATATCTAATAACAAGACAAAATCCATTTTGTCATAACATTTCATTCACTAATGAAATAGGAAATTCATTCTTTTTATACATTTATATTGTTATTGAATTCATATATATAGAATTCATATATTTGGGAGCAAACGTAAGATTTTTATTATTTTTTAAGGCGGAATGGGGGAATGGATGTTTTCAACAAAAAAAGATAGAGCCTGTTTATTCAGTTTAAATTTATTTTACCCCCCCCCCCCTCTTTTTCCGTTTTTCCCCAAGTAAAAATCAAATGTAAGCTTGCTTACCTCTGAAATCTTTTTCATACATTACTTACTTGCGAAGTTGCATTTTTACAAGTCTCAAATGTGTACGACATTCATCTGTTACTTGACATGGTTCTTTTTTATGAAATTATTAGATTCTTGAATTTCTTGAGAAAAACTAGGCTCAAGGGAAGTGAAAAACTGTAACTTACATTAACTGGTATATGACCATTTAAGTTTCTAATCTGTTTAATTTTGATACCTCTTCTAAATGCAAAATGTACTACGTCTTTCTTGAAACGTCGTACAAGTCAGATACAAAACAAAGGTAACAAAAAACAGGCCGGAAACAAACTGCCGTAAAGTTTTTCTGCACTCGTAGTCTGGTCAAGGTCCTCGGCTATCGCCGCGGACCTTCACCTGACTACTCGTGCAGAAAAACTATCCGGCAACGGTTGTTACCGGCCTGTTTCTTTGTTACCTTTGTATTGTATCCAATACATACAGCGTTTAATCAGTGTTTACTGACCCTGTTTGAACTTTCAATAATACATGCAAATGTTGTTGGTAAACAGACTTATTACAAAAGTTGAAACAAACACATCATTTAATCAGGCTGAAGTTAGAAACAAATGTAGCGTTTGTACTAACAAACGATGAACGACAAACTGTAGACGCAGTTTTAGTGAGTGCATAGTTTGTCAAAGTTTAGGTAAACTATGTTAGAAACAAATGATCAAAACATGTGCGCGCTTAGCCGTTTGTATCGTTTGTGTTAGAAAGAAATGCACTCTAAGTTTCATTGGTCAGCATTTACATTTCATAAATTTAGTAGCCACACCTAACTCATGTAAACTTAATGCATTCAAAACTGTCGCCTCTGTGCATTTTTACAATCTATTAAGTAATTGGCGTGCAATATTTACAACTTCAATATAAAATTCCGGGGTATTCAAGGGTTAGACATCCACATGATCCAAAAAAACTGGCTTTTCATTCCTGATTATGTCTTCTTGATATACAACAATGTTTGCTTTGATTAATTTTATTTTGATGTTTGTGTGTATGTTGTATGCTGACTATTTATAACATTAAGTGTTTAGATTATCTAGATGTATCTATATTACAATATATAACCTAGATTATTTTTGGCTCATATGTTTTTCCCAATCGAGTTAATCATGCGGAAGAAAGTGGGTGATCGGTTATTTATCTTACTTGATGCACAGGAAGTAAACCATGACAAGTTTATTGTAAAAGTTTCTAAACTATATATACATCACCCGTAAAATAGCACTTCTTTTTAATAAAATAGCAACTGTTTGGCGTCAAAAGCATATTTGCATATTTCCAAGTCTGTCCTAGCTGAGTATTTGTATACAACACTTCTGATGAACTGCGACTTTGTGATATCTTTTCAACATTTTGATTTTTTGTTTTATTTTTAAGTTGTTGCCTGGATTTTCTTTATGGCATTCATAATATTTTAAAAGTTAGGGTGGTGTGAGTAAAACTGTTCATTGTAGTGCGAGAAATACGATTCAGGACCATTGCTGGTTCTTTATTTTTAGTTTTCAAAAGGCGCTGCTGCCCAAAAGTGAGGCGGATAACTCGAAACAGGAGATACGCATGTATTTAATTCATAATCTGCAAACTCAACTTACTTCTCATCAGTTGGTGCCTCGGACATTATGTCCTCCGCAAAGCAATCAACTTCTTCCTTTCGGGGAAGGGATGGCAGACCGAAAAATTGTAATAACCATTTTCCAGTTTCATTTAACTTTTCCATCTTATCATAACAGTAGTCTTTAAATCAATGTACTCAACATGTATGTATATGCATGTACATATAATATGAATATGTACTCATTAGGCACCACGTACCTGCTACCTTGGGTTAACCTAAGTAACGGTAGTTATCTTATTAAATAGGCGCAAATGAAAAATTAATAATTGGCGCACCCACTTTACTTATGATAAGAAATGTTGTCCCACATTTATTCCGTTATAGTTATGGGCTGTTATTTTTTTTCCCTCGTGAAAAGATCTGTGATATGAATAAGTGATTCGAAACATGCAATAATCTGGTTTTGTTTTCCTTCAATGTGCTACGAAATTGCGACATTTCCATTGGGTTTTCATTAGGTCAATGATGACTTTCAAAAGTCACATTTCCCCCTTAGCAGATGAGATTTGGGATTTATTCATTATTATACAAAACACTTGCATGTTTCACTTGAAAATGTTCATTTTGTCAAGTTTGTATCAATTCTGAAGCGTAAAAAAAGCTTAAAAAAGCAGTTTTCCTCGAATATGACCTATCAAATTAGGCTTATCACCAGGTTTGTACTTGCATGAGCAACACTACGGGTGGCACATATGGAGCAGGATCTGCATACTATTTTATAATGAACTGAGATTACCCTCAGTCTTAAGTTATGTATGTTATGTTTTGTGTACTGTTGTTTGTTTTTTCGTTGTTCTTCATTTTATGCCATGGTATTGTCTGTTTGTTTTCGACTTATGAGTTTGAATATCCCTTTTATCCTGTTTCACCTCTCTTTTTGACATTTCTCTATCGTTAATGACCGGGTATATGTTTCCTTTGTGGTGACTTTTTGTGCTTAATTTGTGATTAGGGATGTTTAGTCACGTTGACTTTAACCCAAAATGTAGTAATTTTAATAAATTAAAGTTATTGCCTCGGAGCAATGTACAAAAAAAAATGCTGCAAGACCTGTTTCAAACGAACGACAATTCCTTAGCTTGTTACAACACGAAATTCAGCATTTCACTGAATTTCTATACATGCATATTCCAGCGAACGCATCCGCCTCTGTTGACTTATTGTATCGCTCTCGCCTTGAGCACGGAATTGCGTGGAGAAAAAACAAAGACTTGAACATTGGTATTTGTTATTAAATTTTCTCTATTAGGCACATGGCATATAACAGTAATATTAACAACTGATCGTTTTGGAGTTAAAATAATGTGTCATAGTAAAGTAATATGTCTTCGTAAAACTTTGCTAACTATAAAAAAGAAGATGTGGTATGATTGCCAATGAGACAACTCTCCACAAAAGACCAAATGACACAGAAATTTACAGCTATAGGTCACCGTACGGCCTTCAACTATGAGCAAAGTACGTTATAAATGCCATCTCAACGTCTATCAATGTAACATTCACAACTGGACGAGAAACTCAAATTCATTATCATCTAATGAAATCAATGCAAAGTTAATTCTTAAATAAAAGAAGAATGTGTCTGAGGACACGAATGCCCCCGCTCAAGTTTTACAACAAAAATGAGACGGAAAGACGGAAGGACGGAAAGATGAAAGGACGGAAGGCCAAGGGTAACATTTAATGCCCCCGTTGCATACGTCGGGGCATAAAAAAATTTAAACAACCATTTGGAATAAACACATATTTTTATTAAACAACCAGAGTTGCCACACTTTGAATATGTAGGTAAATTTGTTCTACTTGGCATATTTAATTCATTGTTTGCCTTTTGAAAGAAAACAAAAACATTTTAAACAACAAACTTTGAAATGTCTTCACCTTGATGACGTTTATTTATCCTGTGCCGGTGTATCCATCGTGGAGTCCTCGTAATCTTCGTAGTTTTCTGCTTGACATGCGTACTGACAGAAATTCCTCACAGACCAAGGTTCTTTTGGTGGTTCGTATACTTTGTATAACATATCGAGCACTTCATACGAAGTTGGTCTTTTCTTAGGATTAGCGTGAGTACATCTAACTACCACGTCCTTCAACTGCAATGAAATAACATTATAAAAGAAGAATACCACTTTATACTGTACAAGGCTACAATAAGCAATTAAAAATTGCAATATATATTTAGGTTATTGTATGAGAACCCTTTATAGTAAAGGAGTAGGCCCGGTAAGACTCCTTTTTAGCCCCAAAATATAGCATTTCAAAAATTTGTTAAAAATTTAAACTTTTAGCTATTTATTGGAAAGTTGAATACTTTTGTTACATAAATATGGGCTGTCTTTGACAATACAATGCACATGCATCAGGTACTAGCATCATTAATTCATGCAAAATTACTGAAATCTTCACAATTTTAGCATTTGTCCTTATTTTTAGACGGTTTTTGTCTAAAATGGAAGTGGCCACACTTGTGTTAAGTCTTACTATTTAAATATATGTTGTATGTGATAGTTATACATAACATATACAAAGGTTGAGACTGAACACGAATGCGGCCACTTCCATTTTTGACAAAACCCATCTACAAAGTGACGTTTTGTGGCATATTTGATAGATTTTGCATATTTAAGCTTGCATTTAGGCGTCTTTAATGAACAAATCTGTTCAAATCTTTTACATAAACTGGTACTCGTTCGTTGTCCACAAATATAGTCCCTAGTGTGGACAGTGTGTTACTTGCCAATTTTTTTTATACCCCTTCCAATTTATTTCTCCATGTTTTATGCCTCAAATAGCAAGTAGGGGTATGAAATTACACTGTAAAAAAATTTGGGTCATGAATTTTAAAGTAAAGTAGTGATTTGGTCCAGCTGAAAAAGGTTAAAAATAAGCACTTCGGAAGCTGTCAAAAGATTTCAAGACCCTCTTAACATAAAATTGTCCATATTTTGAGTTAGAGCTGAACGAATGAAGTTTTCTATAATTTTGATATTTGTCCCAAAAGTGGTACAACACACTGTAAAAATATTATTGAGAAAGCGCAGGAGAGATTTTTTTAATTTTCATTTATTGTCTAAAAGAAATGCACTACGAAATAACTGTGTATATATACTCGGACCAACTAATTGAATCGACTGAAGAAGACACTTAAGTGTTTAAAAAATGTCAAAAATCTTTCATCAGATCAGAACAACTATCCACCAGAGACCAAATGACGTAGATGTAAGCAACTTTATGTCACCGAACGGTCCTCAACAATGAGCAAAACCGATATCACAAATTCATCTACAAAAGACCAATACATGTACATGACACAATGTGAAACAATGGAAACCAAAAAATCCAAAGGCCTGTTCTATGACAAAACAATAAACGCAAAATAATTATGATAGACAACAATCGACAACAACCACTGAATAGGGTTCAGCTACAAAACAGACATAGTATAGATGGACATTCTGTATAAGGTATCCAGTACAGGTGTCTTCCGCAATATTTGCATACACAAACAAAGTAGGTGAAGCTGGGAGCTCTCTGATGATATAATTAGGTAACTCAATCCAGTTATTAACACATATTGTATATATTGGTCAAATGATATACTACTATTAAACTTTTTTTAAAACAAGGTTTTGCTTGCCGATATCACACTATGACATAACTTTAGGTGGTCAGAAAGTGTTTTGAAATCGGTGTATAATTTGTTTGCAACAAAATCAAAACATCAAACAGAAATAAATTATATTAAAATTAATCATTTAAGACTTTTAAAGTATCTTACAGTATATAAGGAATTGAAGATGTTTGGTAAAAAAAATACAATTCTAGAACAACTACAAAGCCTAACAGACTTTCTCACAACAACCAGGACTTTCGGAATAACCATGTTTAGTTTGTGCGTCCACATAGTCGAACATGTATGTTTCTGATATAATGAACATCGAAGTCTAGCACAATTGTTCGCATTTTCAAGCCAGATAGGAACCGATTGAAGTTTTGACTTAACTAAACATATGCAAGTCTTACACATTGTATTATTTTTCTCTCTTCCTCTTCTTTCGTCATCCAGTCACAATCATTCTCCTCATCTTCGTCACATTCATTTTCCTCGTCATCACATGCCTTATCCCCATCTTCGTCACAATTCTCGTAATTGTTGTGATCAGAGTTCTTCTTCCGGTTACCTCCCTTGTTCTCCAACTCGTCTTAAAAATTAAATCATTACTTTATTAAATATTCGCGTTGCTCAGTCTATAGTTTTCTGTGTTGTGTTTTGTAGACTTTTGACAATTCGATTTTTATTATTTCGTTTTCGACTATTCCTTTAGTATCTTCCGCATCTCTTTTGAACAAATAAATAAAGAAAAATGATACATGCAGTCTGCCAAAACAACAAACAATAACAAAAACTAATATATATGTAACACTCAGAAACGTGTCCACCCCCCTCAAATGTGTCAATATGACATCAATGAGCTGCAAAACATGTCTAGCTGCTAAATGGCGCCAAAACGTGTTCTGTTTATGGACGCCCAATCGTTTCCATTGTTTTAAAAACGGCCAAACGTGTCCAGTTAATACGAAACCGTAAGGTCTGCTTTTAAAAGCACATAAACCACCCTTGCAGGAAGCCGATCGTGCAATACCTTCATACATTATAAAGATATTTAGGCATCACCGGAGAATATTAGTACAATAGAATTCACTTAGTAAATGATGATTTAAACTGTACAAAAATAAATAATTGGATATAAGAAGATGTGATATGAGTGCCAATGAGACAACTCTCTATCCAAGTCAAAATTTATAAAAGTAAACCATTATAGGTCAAAGTACGGTCTTCAACACGGAGCCTTGGCTCACACCGAACAGCAAGCTATAAAGGGCCCCAAAAATTACCAGTGTAAAACCATTCAAACGGGAAAACCAACGGTGTAATCTATATAAAAAACGAGAAACGAGAAACACTTATGAACCACATCAACAAACGACAACTACTGAACATCAGATTCCTGACTTAGGACAGGTGCAAACCATTGCAGCGGGTTTAGTCGTTTTAATGGTACAAAACCTTCATCCTTATCTGAAACAATAGTGTAACATCACAACATAGAAAGACAAACTATAAAATATCAATTGAAATGGCTTATTAACTCAATCAAATATTAACACCAGTGAACATACACTGAAAAAATAAATTTGATCTATGATACAACGTAAATACAAAATAAATAAACTAAGGGAAGAAAAATTAAAGTAACATGTTATACCGCTGTGAAATGTTAAGCAATTTAAGAAAAATAATATGCTTGAACAAAAATATCAGCCATTTGCAATTACTTTAAACACAGGTAAATGAAAATAATTTTGTTGTTAGGTATACGTGTACAATTCAAATAGAGAAAGGAAATATTTTTACAAAATAAATAATTTTGATGTTCATAGTACGAATAAGTGAAAATGTATAGTAATACCAAACACTTATCAAAGCTGATATATAGACCAGATATAACCCTGAATAACATTAAATAAGAAAATAGCATTACAATTAGTATCAACAGGTCAAATAAATTGCCATGTTTATTGGTTTTTTTTCTAAAAACGCATGATATATTTGCTACTGGACACTAAGCAATCAATAGTAAATAGTTAATTATGTGTTGTAAATTTAGCATATGTATATATATGCAAATAGATGTGGGGTAGGTATACACATGTACATGTATGTCAATCCATAGCTACCAACCACACAAAACAGAAAATACATATAGAGGTTAGCATAGGCTGTTCAACAACATAAAATTGCCTTAATAAGGATCTTAGTAAACATTCTCATTTGGGCTATAAGCTGTCCGTATGTGTGCCAAATTTTGTTGAGTGTACGATAAGTTAAGATATTAGTCCTTTTCTAAAGTTTACAACTAACTGAAAAACCACATTTGAAAAGAAGAAATAAACACTGAACAAATATATTCATTATATTCCACAAACATATCGAAAGTACATTATGATAATCGCATTACTACCCGTAAGTTACCTCAGATATTTTCAATTTATTGTAACTCCTTTTTCGTATGATTATTCGTCTATGACATAAACGAACGCTAGCGTATTGACGCATTTTGACTGTATTAGGAACATAATTATTGCAACCAATAGATCAAGGACTGCTTTCCACTCCAGGTCTCCTACTGGGTTCATAACTGGGTTTTTTTTGGTAAGATATGCCTAACTCAGTCATTTTGTTTTTATTTTTGTTTTTCTCTCTTTTTCGTGGTATTACAATTATCTGACCTTATGGTTTGTATTGCCACTTGGGATCTCGTTTCTGTTTCTTTACGCATCAATTAAAATGAATAATAAAATAATTATTTTTAAATTCTATGTTACTTCCCCGTTTCTGCCACCTGACCGTTAACCGGTAAATTCATTGTCGTTTGTTTTTCTGCGTTATCATTTCAAAACTTACAATTTTCTGCATTTTCAGTTTCCTGTTGTTTGCACGAATGTGTCCACGTCTCTTCCTCTGTAAACGTTCTGCAAAGTTTCAAGTATTTCCAAATTCAATGAATTACAATTCAGTTAAATTAAAGCTAGTTAGTAATACCTAGTTGTCCAATAGTATCGGTGAATCCCCCTTTTTTTATTTTGAACGGGGTTAAACATGTTTTGTGAGATCTCAACCCTCCCCCTATACCTCTAGCCAATGTAGAATAAACAAACACACATCAATACGCACAGTAAAACTCAGTTTAAAAGAAGTCCGCGTCCGATGTCAGAATAGGTAACAGAAGAAACTAAGCAAACTGACAAATGATACATAAATTAACAAAGTACTACTAGCAGTTACTGACATGCAAGCCTCAGACCTCAATTAAACTGATTGAAAGATTGTGTCTTCATCATATGAAAATCAAGCACAATCCCTCCCGTTAGTGGTTTAGTATCATACCATCATAAAATATATGAGAAGAACATAACCCGTATCATACCAACAACTGGTTTTAGAATAAATGTGTTTATTTCCGATGCAAAGACCCTTTGAGTGAATCAATATTAATTCCAAAATATGCCATCTTCAATGACCTGACAACAGTATCGAATCGAACAAGTTGAGATATATCAACACCATAATATGGTGACAAGGAAACGTCACCATCTAAAAATTGGATAATTAACAATAGGAAATGAAAAATCATCTCTTTTATCGAAAATTTTGGTATTAAGCTTCCCGTTCAATATATAGATATCAAAATCAGAAAGGGGCAGTGTTCATTGTCAGTATTAGCTTTATTAATAGTCAGTTTAGCAGGATAAATCGCTTTAGTGTACACATTGAAGTCGTCATTTTTGAGAGCCAATGTATCATCCAAATATCTAAAAGTGTTATTAAATTTTTGTATCAGATGTTGTTTCGGTGGATCGTTGCTGATTTTAGTCATAAATTGTAACTCATAACAATACAGAAACAGGTCCGCAATAAGTAGTGCACAGTAAGTCCCCATTGGAATTCCGATAATTTGACGATATATGGAATCTCCATAGCGAACACAAATGTTTTCTAGTAAAAATTCAGCGCAGTTATCGTATCAAAGCAGGTCTAATTGACATAGTTCTTTTGTATTGTGTTACTAGAAAATTGCCTAAAAGAGTTTGAACATATATATATTCGCATTCTGACTTTTTAAATGCCCATTTAATTAGATGTGTGAATTTTTTCATAATGAGATTATTTTGTCTTTTGTCCAGTAATATTCCGAGTTTATCTGTAATAAATAACACGGTTAGTAAATAATTTAACATTGATTTTTTTGATTTTTTTAAAAACATTTTTAAAATTTTCCATTGCGTAATACTTTATTTTATATAACTATGATTTCAAATGATACACAGTAACACACTTTGAAAACTGTCAATGATCCTGGTTATACTGATCATGGTAATTGTTAAACCATAATATTAGAATTTTTTATTTTCGAATACTAAATTTTCCTTTCCTTGAGGCTGATCGTTTGGTTCAATGTACAGCATGTGTGTAGTAACGTCTCAGATTTCAATGTTCACTACAACATTTGATTAAGCATCAAGTGATACCTTAAAATACATTTAGTTTAGACCCAAAGGAAACAGAAAATTTAGACTTTGGTTGATTAACCTATGAAAAGTATACCTTTTTAGGCAGGTTCGGTCAACAGCGTAATTTTTTAATACGAATTTTCTGTTAGCAAAACTGTTTCTACAAACAGACTCTTTCTGCTGAAATACCTTATCGGATGTTGTTCTCTATAGGGAAAACGGTACTATTACATTTTCCCAGCATTAGGTTGGCCTTTTGTGTACCCAAGGCAGGTGAAGGAAGTCAACTTAGGAGCGCTGTGATTGCATGGATGTAAGGGTACAATATATTTTTTTATGTATCTATGAATAACCGCAGTGTGTATATTTTCAATATAAATTTTGAAACCTATTGAAATATTTTCTAGAGAATTATTGGAAAAGACGTCAAAAATGGCGGCGACCGTACAGAAGGGATTGATATGGGCTCTTGCAATTATCATAACATCTTTGAGAGTAAGCATTAGATCTTTACAATCGTATCATCAGTGTAAAGTTAAAGCATCAGACTTGGGTTTCTATGCAAGCTTTGACCTAAATAATTTGAAAAAAATCGATTTTTCACTGCAATCAATGACCCCTTCAATGGACAAAGACATCAAAACAATGGCGGGCCGTTCAGACCATCACAAACATTTACTTACACAGCTACAACATGTCGCTTCTTTGCTTCTCCTGATTAGCGGAGACATAGGTACTAATCCAGGACCTATAAAATTTCCATGTGGGTCGTGCAAGAAGCCGGCGAGATCAAACCAGAAAGGTATTCAATGCGAAGACTGTGATTTTTGGTTCCATTTAAAATGTATTGACTTGCCAATTAAAGAATATACTCGACTTTCAGACTCAACTGACAGCAGGTTCTGTCGTTTATGCACCCTTCCTAATTTCACTGATTCATTTTTTGAAAATCAACATGAAAATGAAAACAGAAATATTTCGATCGATAATGATGATGGGTTGAACAGGATTTATCCCCCTTTTGACCAAACCACAACAACCGGTGTAAACATTTCCACACGTGAAGATGAAATCAACCTATTCGATGAGCTGAAACAAGTAAGAAATAAACATCCAAACAAATTTATATGCTCTTATTTGAACATTAATAGTCTAAGATATAAATTCTGTGCGATAAAAGATCTTGAGTGAACGCATAGTAGACTTACTGATCATAGCTGAGACAAAACTCGATGACACCTTCATAGATGCTCAGTTTAAGTTGGATCACTATCACCTCTGGCGAGCAGATAGATCGGCCCATGGTGGAGGTCTAGCCGCATACATGAGATCTGATTTTGCGAGCGATAGACAGAAACACCTTGAGTTTAAAACGATAGAATCCTTATGTGTGGAAGTGGTTATAAATGCTAAAAAGTGGCTGATTGCCGGTCTATATAGACCACAGTCAATTACAGATAATGAGTTTAAAAATGATTTTATACAGTCGTATGACAAGATATCAGTAAGATATGACAACATTGTATTTCTTGGTGACCTTAATTATGACCTACTATCTAAGGAGAAGAAACAGACATTAGAGTCAGTCTGTGATATATGTGACCTAGAGAATGTAGTGAAAGATGCCACCTGCTTCACACAACATGCTGAACCAACATTAAATGATGTTATACTAACTAACAAAAAACACAATATACAAAATGAAGTAAATTTCAATTGTGCAATAAGTGATGTACACAATATGATATCATTTCAATTTAAAAGCAATGTGCCGGCAATTAAACCTCAATATAAATCATATAGAAGTTTCAAAAAATTTGATCATGAGCACTTTTTGAGAGATCTTGAGCAAAGCACATTTAGTGAGAAAGTTGATGAGAACAATGATGTCAACAAAGCATATGAAGACTTTGAATCTGATCTTCTAAATATTGTAAATAAACACATACCATTGAAACAGCGAGAAAATGTACAAAATCCTGCTCCATTCATGAATCAAGAGCTTAGACAATCTATATTTAAGAAAAAGATGTTGTACAATAAATATAATAAGGTAAAATCTAAGAAAAACTGGGAAAAATACAGAGCCCAGAGAAATTTTGTAAACAAAATCAAGCGTAAATCAGTCAGAAATTATTTTATAGAGCGTTGTGTAGGGGGACCAAAAAGCAAAGACTTTTAGCCAACCATCAAACCTTTCTTAACAACAAAGGTAGTTATTTTGAGAACAACATTATTTTATGTGACAATGATAACATTATAAATGATCAGTCAAAGGTTGCTAATATGTTTAATGATTTTTTTGTTAATGTAGCAAAAGATATTGGATCAGACTGTACTGTAGATCAGAACCACCCTAGTATAAAAGCTATATATAATAATTGTAGAACTGAAGGTAATTTAATTTTTAAATGTATAGAAGAGAAATTTGTTGATAAACAAATAAACAAACTTGGGGTAAATAAGGCTACAGGTAAAGACGGGTTATCCGTTAAAATACTGAAATTGGAAAACCAGCAGTTGTGACACCAATAACAAAATTAATAAACAAATCTATTGAGCACTCTGTATTTCCGGACAAACTAAAAGAGGCTCAAGTGGTGCCACTTCACAAGAAGAATAGTCAACTCGAAGTTGGTAACTATAGGCCAGTCAGTATTTTACCTGTTGTATCAGAGTTTTTCGAGAGAGCCATCTTCCGACAGCTAGTTGATTTTTTTCAAAATATTTTTCACCCATATTTGTCTGCCTTTAGAGCAGGATACGGCTGCCAGACAGCACTTTTGAAAATCATTGAGGATTGGAAGAAGGCTATTGATGATAATAAATATATTGCAGCAGTGTTGATGGACCTCTCGAAAGCCTTCGACTGCCTTCCTCATAATTTATTAATTTTAAAACTAAAGGCATATGGATTATCTGAATCAGCTTTAAGCTTGATAGACAGCTATTTAAGTAAAAGAAAACAATGTGTAAAAGTTGGTATAGATATAAGTACCAGGAAAGATATATATAAAGGTGTGCCGCAAGGCTCTATATTAGGAACTGTACTTTTTAATATTTTCTTGAATGATATTTTTCATTTTGTATCAAGCAGTTCATTGTATAATTATGCAGATGACAATACTTTGTCATATTCACATTCTGATATAGACACTGTTGTAAATATTTTAGAAAAAGAAAGCTTAGAGCTAATTAATTGGTTTAGTTTAAATCATATGAAGGCCAACCCTGACAAGTTTCAGGCAATAGCCATTGGCAAGAAAACTGAAAATAAAAATATTTCTTTTAATCTAGATGGTAATATCATACACTGTGAAAAAGAAGTGAAATTACTTGGTGTAACAATTGACTATCAGTTTAAGTTTGATGCCCATATTTCTAACATTTGTAAAAAGGCATCAAAACAGTTACATGTACTTAAACATATTGGTAAACATTTAACAAAATTAGGTAGACTTACTATATATTATTCATTTATCATGTCAAATTTTAATTATTGTCCTGTAATATGGCACTTTTGTGGTGATTGTAATACCAGAAAAATAGAGAAAATACAGGAGCGTGCCCTAAGATTTATTTATGAAGACTATTGTAGTACTTATCAACAACTGTTAATTAAATCAAAATTACCAAGTTTAAAAATCAGAAGAATTAGAATGATAGCAATGGAGGTGTATAAAATTATTAATAAACAGTGTCAATTATATCTACATGAACTTATTGAAATTAAAAAATGTAATTACTCTTTTAGAAATAACAACATAGCAGATGTTCCCAGGGTAAGGACAACTACCAATGGGCTACACTCATTCAGATATGCAGGAGCCAAACTCTGGAACGAACTGCCGAATAAGATGAGGGAAGAAATGCCTTTGGGACAGTTTAAAAGTTTGGTTGGTAATTGGGAGGGCAGTTCGTGTCAGTGTTCCTCCTGCAGATCTCAGTGAGTTGTAGATCATTTATTTATTTATTTATTTATTTATTTATTTATTTATTTATTTATCTTGTATAATCTGGCTTTTATATTTGATGCATAACTTTTTATTTGTGTTTTAAATGCTTGAATTACTTTTAGTGCTTTATATAATAGCTATTGCATGAATGTTGGTTTATCTGCATTTTATGTTTGCTTAATATTATGCTTTAATTTTGCTAAAATTGCTGTGCTTGAAAACATTATTATTTATGCTTTGCATGATGTGCTTACTGTTTTATGTGTTTTATGTATTGTGCTTGTCATATATGTATGTCGGATAAAAGCTCTACAGAGCTTATGTTGTATTGTTATATGTGTAACCGACTTTAAATAAATCTTTTATGCTTTATTATGACTTCCAAAATGTTATAAATTTGGTGTGAAATGACGGTGAGCATGGATAACATAAACAAGCTCCGTTGGAAGTTAGTCATGATACTATTCGGCTTCAATTTTTAAAACAGAATAATAAAGTACTAACACCACACATAACTGTTTTATCCAGGTTTTTATTATAAAAAGTGGTAAATTTAGAAAATGTTAGTATTGTCGCCTATGGCAGAATAAATAGTACCGTTTTCCCTATATTCTAAATGAATATATTACAATAATTTTTAAGTGAAATTTCTAGCGTTGTCATTTTCTGTTTATGTTGAATATCACAGTGACGTTTACATGTTAAGTATCATTTCCGAACTTAATCAGATGTTGGTTTTAAATAATTATTTATTATACTTACAAAATATTTACTGAATGTATTCAACTGAAGCCCGTTCGACAGGTGCTTTTCTAAGAAATTGAAAGATCTACTTGTTGTACGTCATTAATACTAATACACTAGGTAAATAACAAAATTAAAATGTGAACATCAACAAGCAAATGAATACTTACTTATTTTCTGCCATTTTATCGATATCTGAAACTTCGCTGATACTTTATGGAATTTTAAATGCTCATAGCTATCAAACACATGTATCCATCAGTTTCATTTCCCAGGACAGACTTTACCAATAAATATTTCAATGGAAATATAAATTTGTATTTGGATTGTAATTTTTCCTCAGGAATGTCGGTGGAATTTAATGATGAGAAGCAGATTCATTGGATAAGTGATTACAGATTTACGTTTAACTGTTAAAGCATGAATTCAATGCAGTATCATTGGGTCTAGCTAAAGAGATTCGGTTTTCCGACAATCATGACTTATATAGAGCAAAATAGAAAAGACTGCATTTAGGAATTGCCAAATCAAAGTTCACAATACGATAAGGAAAAAGGGGGAAATAGTAACATAATGATATATAAACTCGACACCAAGGCATATGATAATTCCAGATACAAAGCTCTAGACTATTAAAACACACTTAAAATTAAATGCCGATAGCATATACATTTTCACAAATTTCTATTCTGCACTGAAATCAATGTTTAGAATTAAATTGAAATGATCAGCACATATTAACGATACGCAATTTTATAAATGGAACGCAGTTTGTCAAGGGATGTGTTGTCAAGGGATGTGTTAATAATACACATGTGAACCAGCAGGTTGACATTCTGTTGATCTTTTTTTTTCTAAAACACATTATATATATATTAAAAAAAATGACTTAATATCATTTATCAATATCTGTATAACTTATGAAAAGAAGATCGTTTAGCATATTTTGAAAGGGAATTCAAAATGGACACGGTCTTAAGATAATATTTACAGTTTTAAAGTTATTATTAAGGGTAGTTTAATGCATGCAAGTTATTAACCTAAACTCAGTCCATCCCTCTTAGTTTGTCAATCATTTGGACTAGTTTTAAATTATTTGTTTTTATTTATATCATAAGCATTCATTGTTAGTTTTTGTATTCCTGTACGCCATAGTAGAAGACTTTTCTTTTAGTCTGAACAGGACCGGTCTTAAAAAGTTATAATATCATAATAAAAGCTCTTGTAATGTATCTGATCTCATATTTTGAAAGACAGAGCGTCCACATACGTCCACATACAACATAAGCCATTCCAATAAAATACGTGTAGTTCATGACGACGACAAACACTACAGAATCCCTTCCACGAACATCGTCAATCAATGGTTTTCCGCCCTCACTGATACCTTGTTAAACAGTTACAACGTCAATCAATGGTTTTCCGCCCTCACTGATACCTTGTTAAACACTTACAATGTCATTAACACACCATATTATCGGCTCTCTGTGCTGCAGATGACATTAACACACCATATTATCGGCTCTCTGTGCTGCAGATGCAATAGATAACGCTAATAAATCTTCGGTACACGATTGGAAAATCCATTTTTTTGAGATAGCAAAAACAATTGCTTTGAATAGCAATCGGAAACACAGATCCTATTTTATCTGCAGTATTGATAATCGGTAATTGGTTTTTATTAGCTTCAGCATTAGTTTGTGGATGAACCGCTATCAATTTTTTCGATATAGTTTTTATAAGGTCGGATTTGTTGTAAAAATACAAAATTCATCAAAGATGGAATGTGTTATATTTTCTAATCATTTCCTTTTTCAACAGGACAGTAATGTTGGCCGAAATTTAATTGTGCATGCTGTTTTTGGTCTGATGATCCAATGAATTGAATGCACTAATACCGTCCTGCAAATACGTTAGTCAATAAAAGAAACAATACACGACTTCAGATATTAATATTGTTTTTTTTAAATTACAAATTAAGTTCACAATGGGAAAATTGAAATCATCTCTTTGTGGTAAGGTTTAGTTTTTAAGATTCTAACTGTCAATATTTTAACTTTGAATTATTCAGTGATACGCCTATTGTCTGTACCATTACTGTAATCTCACGTGCTATTGACGCTTGAATATCATTAATTTTGTTGATTTGAACAGGATTTCAACTTAAAAACACTATTTTTGTTTTGCAAAGAGAACATTAAAGAAATATTGATAATTACAATCCCGAGCAAGACGACGGGTGTCACATGCGGAGCAGGAACTGTTTACCCTTCCTGGGCACCTGCGATCACCCCTTGGTTTTTTGGTAGGGTTAGTATTGCTGAAGTCTTTAGTTTTCTATGTTTTGCTTTGTAGACGTTTGTTCGTCATATGGTCGTGTTTCGTTTTTATTTTTGCCATGGCGTTGTCAGTTTGTCTTCGACTAATGAGTTTTAATGAGTTTGTCTTCGACTAATGAGTTTGTCTTCGACTAATGAGTTTGTCTTCGACTTATGAGTTTGTCTTCGACTAATGAGTTTGTCTTCGACTAATGAATTTGTCTTCGACTTATGAGTTTGTCTTCGACTAATGAGTTTGTCTTCGACTAATGAGTGTGTCTTCGACTAATGAGTTTGTCTTCGACTATGAGTTTGTCTTCGACTAATGAGTCTGTCTTCGACTTATGAGTTTGTCTTCGACTAATGAGTTTGTCTTCGACTTATGAGTTTGTCTTCGACTAATGAGTTTGTCTTCGACTAATGAGTTTGTCTTCGACTAATGAGTTTGTCTTTGACTAATGAGTTTGTCTTTGACTTATGAGTTTGCCTTCGACTAATGAGTTTGTCTTCGACTAATGAGTTTGTCTTCGACTAATGAGTTTGTCTTCGACTAATGAGTTTGAGTATCCTTTTGATATCTTCCGCCTATTATTTACTTTCTCCTATTATTTACTCTCTCCTATTATTTACTCTCTCCTATTCCTTTCTTATATATGGCGACACTTTTGCAATCAGAAGGTGAGGTCAACACGTTAAACTACAAATCATTTGCACAAAATTTGAAAAAAGAAACTATAAATTTATTTGTAATGTGTTTTGGTAATTGAAATCTCTGGTTGGATGTATTCATATTTGGATTTATTTGTAGCCTACAATGAAAATGCTTACTACAGGGTTTTCAAAACACTCATAGTCTATTCTTCAAAAATCAATTATCAAAACTGTTGATATTTACAATCCACTTAAAATTATATATTAGACGGCAATCAAAATCCATCAGTAAATGCAACTGTAATTGTGCAAAAAAGAGGCCCCTATTGGGGGTGTCCAAGTATTCACATAATCACACATTTTTTGCCAATATAATTATCATTAACTTTTTTTTTTTAACAAGATAATCAAATAATCAAAAATACAGTCCTAGATTATAAAATAATCAAATAATCATGACATATTTGGTCTGGTAATCAAATAATCACTATAAAATCAGCCATGTGATCACATAATCAAAAACCCCATGAGGCTCAAAAACCCAAGGGTGCAGTTAACTCAGGAAAGTTTTCCTTTAATGATGTCATATTACATGTATTTGATCTTTAAATTGAAATTTTCATAAAAATTGCATGTGCCAAACAATTCACCTAAGTATACACTGACTTCTTTTTATATGAAATACTAGAACACGCGGGTCTGTGACTGAATTAAAGTACCTACGCCTTATTTTCAGACTGGACTTGCATTTAGTAGTGTCAATCCCTATATAATGACGAAGTTCGGATTCGACCCGAAACTTGTTTATTATTGGTAATATTAATTATGTGGAAAACAAAAGGGCCTGGAATGGTGTAATTTTTAATAAACACCATTGTCCTATATTAGTTATATATAAAATTGAATTATTTAAATTGGTCGTATTTACCTATTGCCGGCTAACAAATTGGACCTCGTTATTTTAGTAGTATAGCTGTTTACACAATGTACATTATGAACCATGTTGTAAAACACCAGTAAGTTTTATCTTGATCGTATGCATCACAAAACGTCATTCTAAGATGGATATACCTGTTGCATGTACATACGATTATTCATAGAATATTAAATTATATATACTTGCTGCATCTTTCCAGTTCTGTGTATGTTAGAATTGTATAAAATGCACAACGCTATACAAGTTACACTAAGATTTAAAATTGAGAATGGAAATGGGGAATGTGTCAAAGAGACAACAACCCGACCATAGAGCAGACAGCAGACGAAGGCCACCAATGGGTCTTCAATGCAGCGAGAAACTCCCGCACCCGGAGGCGTCCTTCAGCTGGCCCCTAAACAAATATGTATACTAGTTCAGTGATAATGGACGCCATACTAAACTCCAAATTATACACAAGAAACTTAAATTAAAAATGATTTGTTTAGTATATTTGATATTTCAACAAGGCGATCACTTTAGGTTGTTATTCATACTCCAAGTCTTTGCAATACTTTCTACAATTACAATTCAATAATATATTACATTCTAAAACTTATAACGAATCTGGTCTTCCTTATGATTCATTAGACTAAGTATACTACAAAGAAATATAACCGGTACATTCTGATAGACTGACTGAATTAACTACTGTGTAACATTTATTTTTTGGTTCAGATTGAAACTTTAAAATGGAACATATGGACATTGAAAGCAAACATTTCGCATTTTTTAACTTAGTTAAAGAAATAAACAAGGATAAATTTCTTCCCTATATGATCTTGGTAAAAATAGTTCAAAACGGAAAATCAGATGACCTTCGATCAGTTCAACAAAATCGATTCTTTTTCATATGGTTGATATTATCTATTTGCCAGACTTTTGTGTGTAAATGTTACTTTTGAATGACATTTGTAGAAAGAAAACAGAGTGGCCAATTTATATATATAAATACACTAAACACTTCTCGACCCTCAGCAACTCGCCGTTTCACAATCTAAGGAATTATGGATGTAATTTCATTGTACGTAACCCCGATATTAAGGTAGATTAAATGTATACCGCCATCTTGGGTTGTAGAATAGCAATACACAATCAGTCTAGTTCTTTGCTTAAATCTGCAAATTTTGAGACAAATTAGCAATTAATGTGTAAGTTCTACATATTTGTTTTTGTTGGAATCAATTTTTCAACTTTTCCATTTAAGGGGATAAAACTAAAACAGTAAATTTGTATAAAGGAATGTTACAGCATTTTTCGCTGTTTTACTTGAAGAAAACAAGTTCGGTAACATAATTTTTTCTTTTCATTTTCTTAAAGCATGATATTTTAAAACCTATCTTCTCATATTTTATTTCAAAATTCAATCTCATAGATTTCTTTTTATTCACAAAAAAGTGTTTTTTCATGAATAATCTATACAAATTTGGCCAGTTTTGCATGATTTGTAGCTTGAAATATAACACGGTGACCCATAACTTTTATTATATTTTTGAAAAATGCATGGCAAAATCTACATTTTGGCAATGTATAAGAAAATCCTCTCTGAGAAAATATATATCAATGATCCACCTTAAAATAACGTGACGTCATTGGATGGAAATAACGTCATGTCATTAGATGGAAATAACGTCTTGGTGAACTCTTTTGAAAATGCAAAGTAACTGACAACATCAACCACATACCCGGTCTGTAAAATACGCTGATGGAATTGATAAAATGTATAATATAGGTACACAAGTATTTTCTGAATCGATTACAAATACGACAATCGGAGACAAATAACGTTATAAATAACAATGTGGTTCATGTAGTACATTTTCTATTATAGACCGTTCTTTCGCGGAGGAATAACTTCACCTACTGCAGTTGTACCTTTTAAAACAGCCATAATGTTATTTGCAGCAATTTCCGACATACTGTTTCTTGATTCCCACGTATTACTACCCATATGTGGAAGAACAATACAGTTGTTTAATGTCAATAACGGATGATCTTTAGGAAGTGGTTCCGGTTCAGTAACATCCAATCCGGCAGCAGCAATAGAGTTTGTACGTAATGCTTCATATAGATCATCATGTTGAATTACTCCGCCTCTCCCAGAATTAACCAAAACTGCACTATTCTTCATCTTTTCGAAAGCCTTCGTATTGAACTTGTGCTTGGTTTGTGGAGTTAAGTTACAACAGATACAAATGACGTCAGAATCATTCAACAAAGTGGAAAAATCTACATATGAAGCACCAATATCGTCAGCGTAACTGACTCTGCAGACATCATGGTAAATAATTCTCTCAATTCCGAAAGGTTTCAGTCGTTTAGCCACCCCGTATCCTATACGACCAAGTCCGAGGATTCCAACTGTTTTGTTTGTTAATTCTACTCCACATAGCCACATAGGTTTCCATTTACCCCATTCTCCTCCATGTACAGCACGTATTCCTGAAATATAATGGATGTAGATATGTAATAAAACGGAAAGGGGTTCTGTATGCATACCGAATTCAATTAAATACTATGTTAAAAAAGCACATATAAACTGAGTCAGCTAAAGTCATCCTTGCGATGGTTAACAAATGTGGAGCAGGAACTGCTTACCCTTCCGGAGCGCCTGAGATCACTCTCGATTTTTGTTGATGTTTGTGTTGCTTAATCTTTAGTTTTCTATATAGTATTTTGTGGTCTGAATAATCGTTAATATTTTTATCGTTTTTAGTCTTCACAAAGATACTAACTGAAAAATTTCGTGTTCGTTGTGAGCCAAGGCTCCGTGTTGAAGGCTGTACTTTGACCTATAATTGTTCACTTTTTACACATTGTGACTTGGATGGATAGTTGTCTCATTGGCACTCATACCACATCTTCTTATTTATATATAAGATAAACATTTGCATATATCTTGAGTACAAATAATATATTTTAACTAATTTAAAAGACTACTTTTAAAACTACATGTACCTTCATATAGTCTTCTGGCGACCAGCAGAAGAAGAGACACCGTCAGTTCTGACACACTATCAGTCGACACATTTGGTGTATTCGTTACAGCTATCCCTCTACTTTTACAAGCTTCAAGATCAATGTGCTCATAACCTACTGACATGGTCGACACAATACGCAGGTTTTCGCCTGTTAAAAGAGCATATTTGTTATTGGTCTGAATCTGAATTATTTCCCTTACACTGCAAAAAATATTTTTAAAGTATGAAATTGTCCAAACGAATTAAATGATGCCATTTCGGTACTTTTCATTTATTTAATTGTTAAAATTATCACATGCATCGAATTTTGAAACCAAATAAAGGAGGGTGTAGATGGGGGGGTTACAAAATAGAGAATAATGGGCAAAAATATATAAAGAATAGAGAAAAATGGCCTAAAAATAAAGAATAGAGAATAATGAGGAGCTAAAATACAAACGATAGAAAATAATGTGCAAAATTATAAAGAATAGAAAAAATAGCCTAAATAATTAAAGAATACAGAAATGAAGGACCACCCCACCCCCACCCCCTCCCCCCTTTCCAGACCCTCTTAAAGTGGATTGCAATTGTCCTCTTCAGATTGAAAGTTTTGATGATATTATATATTTAACAAAATCCATAGAATTGCGCAAGACTTAACAAAATCAATAGAATTATGTAAGATGTTTCAAATTGTGTCTGACGGATGCACTTAAGTCTTATTGTCAACTCAACATAAATTTTTATACAATATTCTTCAGTTTTGAATCCTTTAAACGAATTTAAAAAAAAAAATCTAAAATATAACAAAACATTAAAAAAAATGGTGTAAACGTGTTCGTTATAACTCGAGGTGCACTTAAGATGTTGCTTTTTACAGATCACCATTTTTCTTTCAAAAATTACTAGTTACGATACAATTTAGAAAACATTAAGTAAGAAATTCTCGTCGCAAATGAAGTTTGACTGGTGACGCGTAGTGGAACCAGTGAGTATTTAAGACCGTCAAATCTCAATTGACACTTGCTAGTGATTTAGAACGTCAACTGTGTAATTGACGACAGGATGTCATCCAATTAAAAGTGCCGTTACACGTCATATGAAAAGAGAATAAACAATACACCTTATCGCTATTTGTCCGCCATTACTGGACATCACACAAGTTCCCGTAAAATTTTGACGTCATAATAGAAAATATTTGACGCCACAATGGAAAAGTGATTGTTGTGTGACGTCAAAAGTTCGAGCGGGACAGATTCTCGGGTCAAGCGGGAATAGCGATAAGGTGTATTATCACTTAACGATGCCGAATTACTAAGCAATGTCTTGAATAAGTACTGTTCGCTCTATCAGAAATGAAGTTATTAGGTTAACAGGTTACCTCGGCTGATTTTAAGCAAAAAGCTGTTAATATGATGCACGTTATGAAAAAAAAACGTAAAAGCTTTACATGATTATATCTATAAATATTACGATGTTGATCCATAGGTTCGAAAAAACTTTTAAAGTAAATAAAAATGTAATTTACCTCCTTTTGCTAGTACTTCTTCATCAATTTTATCAGTCAGCATGCACAGCAAAGCTCCTACACCTTTGACTTTCTTGAGAAGTTCCTCATGCGGAATGGCTTCATCGCTGTCCCAGAACTGTACATCACAATCCTGTAGTAATATATCAAGTCCAGGTTTCGGTATTCTCCTAGTCACAAAAACTTTAATTTTTGTCATTCTCTCTCGATATGCTATAAAACGTTTTAATCTAACATAAAAAAAAGTTATTCAAATGTTATTTATAACTATTTGTGCAAACCTTCCTTGTGAGTAAAAATAGAAAGACACATTTGCTAATGTTGAAGTGTCTACGACACTGTAATCGGCTTTATACAATACTGGACAGTAGTGAAATCGACGAAAGGATTACGTGAGAAACTTAATGCGGAGAATCAGTTCTTCTATCGATCGATAGTAGACAATGTCAAATGAAGGACACGACAACCTCCGCAACTCACCGAACAGTATTCGAAAATCTTAATGACGACAAAAGGGTGCGTTAAACAATAAGAAAGCAGAATAGTAAAGATTATTTTAATTAATACCTCTGTCTTATTATAACCTTGATCAACTTGTAAACATGTTTGCTAATTAACATCGACTTCTGTCTCATTTCAGAACGATTTAAGAGATGAGATGTTTTGTATGATCTGACATTTTAATCTGAAATTAATTATCAGCATACATAACATTTAAAACTCGATTTAATCTATTGAAAGAGCATTCATAAATATATATCACACGAGTAAGCTTTTAAGCTTGATACATACAATTTGTACTTGTACCTAATTGTCTTTTCTCTATTTTCAAAGGATATAGACTTTACCCTTTGATTTAATATAAAGATCGTGCGAGTATACCTTTCTCGATACCTACCACCTTTCTTTCTCCGTTCAACCGCCTCGCCGTCGGTGGTCTCGTGGTAGCGTGTTCGCCTCGATTGCGGGGGGTCGTGGGTTCGAACCCCGGCCGGGGCAAACCAAAGACTTTAAAACTGGTATTTACTGCTTCTCCGCTAAGCACGCGCGGCATTAAGGAGAAAGAGCAAAGACTTTTGATTGAATCGGAGTAGGAATAATGTATTCGGGTAAGGTGACATGTCTTCCTGCGAACTGTTACCTATGAACTAGCACGTTAGAAAAACGGCTCAGCGTGTCAGTCTAGGACAAAGCAGGGTTAATTCTGATATTACATTAACTTGTTCTCGTCCTGAATATGCATATTAATTTGCCACTGGACGTTAAGTAGTCATCTATCATCATATTTCTCCTTGCAGTCTTTTGTAAATGTTATATTTCTATCTCTTGATCGTTTTGTATCGTATGGTGACGTGACATTAAAACACTGGGAAATATTTTTGTAAAGTGGGAAAATCAACCTCGCGTGAACTTGATCTTCATGGAAAGACTACAGCAAAAAACACGAAAATAAGACCTAGCGAATCCAGATTTTCATTAAAAATTATTAACTTTAAACCTTTCGAAAAAAATATGCTATTATTTACGTAAGCTAACTATGAAGTACACTAACCAGTATTAAGTGTAGGAGGAAAGATTGTTTATCTGCAGGTTAAATACTATGAGCTTGTTTTCAATAATATTCGAGCATTTTTTAAATGCGGTATAATATTTGATTTGATTTGAGTTTTTGTTATTTATCCTTATTTTAAGGCTGAGCGAATTTTATGTACTGCTTTTCATTGTAATAGTGTTATCTTAAGTAGGTTTTGTCTCAAGGAGAAGATTGGAGATCTAACTAGTATACACCCGCCATATTTTCATGTACATGTCAGGAACCTCGTTAGTACATGTAGTTGTCATATGTCATGGTACTAGTATGTTAATGTCTTTGTTATTTGGAAAAAAGGCTGTTTAGGGATGATCTATAATTATTTCTATTTAATTAATGTATTCGCTATTCTTGTAGACTCATGAGTATTTCGAGCTTCACGTATTGTACTGAACCCTCTCTATTATTGAAGACCTAACTGTTGCCCTCCTAACGTTTTTGAGGGCTTTTTGTCGTTGGTCATTATGGGTTCTTTCTTATTGGCGTATTCTTCACATCTCCTTTATTCCCTGTTTAATGAATAAGTGTTAAAACCATGATAGCATACTACTATGTATGGTTAACGCATGTTATATAAGCGTAGAACATCCGCCCTGAAACGTATTTTTTTTTCTCCCGGCTTAAGGTTGGCCTTTTGTGTACCAAAAGCAGGAGAAGGGAGTCAAATTTGGAGCGCTGTATATTTTCTTGAGAATTTTTCAAAAAAGCTTCCAAATTTTCATTAGTTTTGTGTAAAATGACGGTGGCCATGGATACTATAAACAAGCTCCGTTCGAAGATGGTCATGACTTCAATTTATGAAACAGAATAATAAAGGATAATATCACACATAACTGTTTCGTCCAGGTCTTTTATTATAAAATTAAAAAATGAAAATATTGTCGCCATTTGATCTGTGATCTTTGGATAAAAGACAATATAATCTACGTAAATAATGACAAAGGTAGAATATCAAAAGAAAAAATCTTATATAAGTTCAAATGTAAAAAGAAATTGGATGGCTGAAATAATACAAATAAGAAAGAGTATACCAAATCATTGGAAAAACATATTGCAAAAAGAAGATATGATAAATAGTTATATAGTTCTATTAAATGTAAGTAAAGATAGAAATATTCACTGTAAAAAAGGAGTTTAGCGATAGAACACTTTAAGCACATGTTTAGATCTAAACATGGTTAGGATTGTGTTCTTATCCTAAACACTTTAATGTTAAACGTGATTTTCCTCTAAACATGTTTAGGGTTAGAACACAAGACACTTGAAGTTAGATATAACAATAAGCTAAACGTGACATGTGCCTAAACATGTTTAGGTTAAGAACACAACAAACAATAAATAGGAAACATAGTTGGCGCGTGCGCAAATAATCATGAGTTTGAAAAATTCAAATTGAAATTCTGGGATGCAGAAGATCAACAATCCATGTCATGGAAGGTTCAAAAAGCGACAACGTAATCTCAGATAAGTTTTATCTCATATTATTGTCTATTACAATGTACTTAGGTGAAGCTAGAGGGTGTCCTTACAGAAAATTTCAGACACCACAAGGTTCGTTACAATATCGACAAAAAAGGGGAGGCATACTATTTTGAATTTGTTTTAAATCTTCACATATGGATTCACGGGTTTTTTTTTTAATTATGTTATAAAAGGAATCGAAATAAACGTATTGTATAATTATATTTAAATAAATATTTCACATCGATAAGGTACTGAACCCATTTACGTCTTCCCAGTTTATATATCAACACTACATATATCTTAAAGGGTGAAATACAGCACATTTTATCATAATTCTTGTAATATAGTAAATGAAACTTGTATAGGGTATAAAAGCAATCAGACAGAAAATGACACGCGTGTATCAACACTTTCTGTACAATTAAAGTTGAGGTATTTTATACATGATACTTTGTGGATTGTTTTAATCTGTTTCAGGTTGCGACTGCTTGCACATTCAAAGATTCCAATGTAATGTTAGACACCGACAGTAGATCAGTTTTGGAGTTATTGTATGGTCTTTGATGATTGATGGGATGAATCTTGTCACATATGTATTTCCTACCAGTAACAGTCTCCAGGACAAGTTTGCACTTCCGCTGAGTGCAAAAGTTGTCACCTTAATTTTTGGAGTTAAGTCAAAATGAAGTTGATAACTTGGTTGGTATTGGTTCCCTGATATTTGTCCTAAAATTTTTTGACTCTAGCACCACTGTTGAAAAAGTTATGCCCCTTTTTTCAACAATTTCCTCAGAGGAAAAGTAATTTTCCTCAAGGGAAATCAAATTTCCCTAAAGGAAAAAGATTTTTCCTTCAGGGAAATTGTATTTTCCTCAAGGGAAAAAGATTTCCCTTAGGGAATTTGCTGCATTAATATTTCCTTTGAGGAAATTCTATTTCCTCTGAGGAAATTTGCGGCTTCACATTTTCCTTTGAGGAAATTCTATTTCCTCTGAGGAAATTAATGGCTTCAAATTTTCCTCTGAGGAAATTTGAAGCTTCAAATTTTCCTTTGAGGAAATACTTTTTCCTGTGAGGAAATTTTGTCAACTGCAATTTCCTTTGAGGAAATTTTTAACAAACACTTTTCCTTGAGGGAAAATTCAATACCACAAATTTCCTCAAAGGAAAACATTGTTCTCCAAATTTCCTCTAAGGAAATTTCTGTACATCAAATTTCCCTGTAGGAAATGTTTTCCCCTATTTTTACTCATTGTAAATTTCTTCACTATACAAACAGTATGAACATAATGTTTACAAGACTTAATAAATGATACAAATGATATTTAAAACTTAAATAAATTTTTGACTCAAAATTATCATGACATACAAAAACAATACAGTGAGTCTGACTGTTTAGGTCAAGGTATTGTACATACTTTATATGACTTTAACTTTGATTTATAAAATATTTTTTTGTAGCAAAGTATTCTGTTTTCTTTGTTATTGTTTCAATTGTATACATTAATAAGCAACCAATTTGAATGTCATACCATTTGTGGTGTTCATAAGAATGCGTTCATATTTGCAAATTAAATAATAAAATAAACACTTTTCTTGTAAATTTTAATTTTCCTCTGTTTCAGCTGCTGTGTACAGTTATTCAATCCACTACGTAAAAGTTCAATGCATAAATTATTCCATTCACTAAACAATTTCCTTCAAATCTTAGAGAAAACATTTTTGCAATTTGTTCTTCGAAGATCTTCTTCAGTATATTTGATATGAGGGAGCGATGTAAATGAGTGGATAAAGCTGGTGTTTTTTTCTTCATTTCTCCCTTCTTTTGACGAATATATATAATATGTTGTTGCATTTATACAATTTTGTTTTTCTGCATCTATGATAGAACTCCATTTTGTTTATAGCCATTATCATGTGATTATGATGAAATTTCCTATTTCTTTTTTGCAGGAAAACACACATTCCATTTCACATTAATCCAATTAGCACACCATGTAGATAGATATCAACTTTCAGTTTCCTCTTCAGTATTGACCTATTGATCATGAAAACCAAGATGTCTGATCACCTATAAATACACAAAATAAACAAATAAAATGTTATAAATGGAGAGAGTAACAGCAATAAAGAAGCTTATTTTGTCATGTTTATGAACATTTTAAGAATATTTCCTTTCTTACCTGTAAGTTCTCTTAATTCCGTGCTTTTTGTCTATGGGTTTTTATATATGTTGATTTTGTGCATTTTATCAATCTTTCGAGTCAATTGCAACGGTTATTTTACAGTTTGTTCTTTATATGTTGAGCTGTTAAACCTCTGTCCAAAGTTAAGGTAGGGTTGAGTGCTCACAATCCTGATTTTTTTTATTACATGTATTAGTTTTTATTGATTTTTAACTAGCTGTCAGTAACTGTGAGTACTAACAGATCTTTGTGTCTTTTCGATTAAGGGAAAGGTA